GTGTTAGATTGTTATTGTAGTGTTTGTGTGTGTGATTGTGGTTGATGGTGAGTTAGTGTTGTGTGTTAGTATGTATGTGGTAGTGTTAGTGTGTGTGTGTTGATGTGGATAGATGTATATGTTGTATGTAGTATAGTGTGTAGTTGATGATATGATGTTAGTGTGTGTTATTTGTTGTTTGTGTGTGTGTGTTTGTGTATATTGTGTTGATGTGGTATGTTGTTGTGTGTGTGTTTTGATTTGATGTGGTGTGTTTGTGTGTGTTGTGTGTGTGTGATGTTTGTGAGTGTATGTGTGTTGATGTTTAGTGTATGTGTGTGTGTTATGTGTGATGTTTGTGTTTATTTGGTTTGCGATTATAAGTGGTGTGTTTATTGTGTAGTAGTTTAGTGTTTGTGTTTGTGTTATAGTTAATAGATAGTGTGTATGATATATTTTATGTGTTTTAGTTTGATATGAATGTGAATTATATTAGTGTTATGATAGTGGTTAGATATATGGTAGTTTATATGATATATATGATATGTATAGTGTGTGTGTATGTATAGTGTATTGGTTGTGTGTTATGTTGTATATTAGTATTTATGTAGTAATGTTAGTTGATTGTGTATGATGTGTAGTGTGTGTGTGTGTTATAGTGTAGTGTTAGTGTGTTGTGTGTGTGTTAGTGTGTGTGTGTTGTGTGGTGTGTTATGTAGTAGTTAGTGTGTGTGTGTGCGTGTTGTGTGTCAAGTGTTTTGTGTGCGTTTGATATGTGGTGTGTTTTCGTGTGATGTAAATGTAAGTATGTTGATAGTTTTGTATGTGTGCAGTGGTTGATACTATTAATATATATATTTAATAAATTAATATATATATATATGATATATATATTAATATATTAATATTAATATTATATAATATTATATATATATTGTAGATTATAGTATATTTATTATAATCTATATATATTATTTATATACATAATATTATATAGTATATATTAATATTATTAATATTTATAATATATTATAATATATATTATATATATATATATTATTTAATTATTTACTATATAAGTATATTATCAATATATGTGATATATTTTATATATCTATATATTATATATTATATCTATCTATTATCTCATATATATTATTATTATATATAATAATATATATTATTATAATATATTTATTTTGTAAGATTACATAATATATTATGTACATATATATATATATATATATATAAATGGTATGTGTTTATATTAAATATATTTTATCAATTTTTAATATATATAATATTATATTTATATTAAATATACATATAATTAATAATATTTATATATAATATTTAATTTTTAATATATTATTATATTTTATTTATATATATATATATTACCGATATAAATATATATTGGGATATATTACACACACAACACTACACTCACACAATTACACACATATCTATCTTACACTATTATCTAATGTATATATAATATTATCTTATATGCTATATCTATCTCATATCTCTATCTATAATATCTATATTTAATATTAATATATAATATATTATGGTATATTAATAATATATATATAGTATATATATATATATATGTATATATATTATATATTACATTAATAATTATTTATAAATATGATATGGAATAATAGATAGATAGATAGATAGATAGATATAGAAGAGTTATATATACACATATATAATATATTAATACTCAACAGATTAGATATATGTATTGTATAGTATATATATTATAATAGTCAATATATGTATCATTACATCCATTTATAATTAATAATATAATATAATCATATATATATTATAATCAATTATTAATATATATATATTATGTATAAATTTATATTTGATTATTATAATATATTGTTGGTAATTTATATTTGATGTGTGTGTGTGGTATTGTTGATGTGCGTGTATGGTTTGTGGTATATATATATATATATTATATATATATTATGTGTGTGTTAGATATGTGATGTGTTTAGTTATAGTGGTTGTGTGATATGTGTGTATGCGGTTATAAGTGTGTGTGTTGTGGTGTGTGTATGTGTGTATTAGTTATTAGTTGTGTTGTAGTGTATGTGTGTTATTTTGAGTGCAAAAGAGGAACAAGTCAGGAAGGGAAGGGCTAAAGAAATAAACATACACAATATATGCATACATAATTCGTGATAGTTTATTTTTCTTATAGCACTTTATATACCTCCTCATGAAATTTAAGTTTAGTTCTCTCAATATCTTTGGAATCTGTGGTCCTATATACTATTATGAATTCCACACAATATTATATTAGTTTATAATATAATAAAATTAAGTGTAGTGTGTGTGTGTGTTGTTTGTGTGCTTGTGTGTGTGTGGTATATATATATAATATATTATTATATATATTATATATATATAATATAATTATTATATATAATATATATATTATTTGTATAATTAATATATAATATTATATTATTATATATATATAATATATATT